ACACTGGGGTCAGTTGGGGGGAAATAGGGGAGGGACAGTGAGGGTTGGGGAGCTGGGGAGAGATAGCAGGGGGAGAGATGCCAGATGTAGGTGATGGGGAGGAAGGCAGCAAATCACATTGCCACTTGTGTACCTATGCAACAATCTTGCATGTTCTTCACATGTACCCCAAAACCTAAAATGTAATAAAATAAATAAATGGGAAAAAAAATTAAAGACCATACAAAGCCAAACAAAACACATCTGACCATATACAGCCCACGGGCCACCCCTTTATAGCTTCTGGTCTGCATACTTGCTTTTCAAAGTGATATCTTCAGAGAACCAGGTGAGGCCTCATCTGGGAGCTTGTAGGAAATGAGAACCTCAAGTTCCACCCCACACATATATATTCAGAATGTGAAATTTAATAAGATATTCAAGTGATCTTATGCTCATTAATATTTTCAAATCCGTTCAAAAGTTTCTGTGTTCTCTATCTAAGTTTTCCCAAACTAATACTAGGAATCACCAGAAGTACTTGCTAAAACCCACATTCCCAGGTGCTTTTCTGATCCACTGAGTCAGAGTCACTAAGATGGTAACTCTCGTCATCAGGGAAGTTTGGGGAAGACTGAGTTATTCCATAAGCCTGTGAGGTTCACGGGTCCCACATACCTCACCCTTATCAGGCAGTCTGCCCTACCACACCATCCTCACTTGAAGCCTAATAGACAGTTATCCAAAGGATGGAACCTACGTAGATAAGTGAATGGGTAATTTCATTTCCCCAACGGATTTTTAGGCCATATTTTTGAAACGCATGCTTCTCTGTTTATCCAGTGACTTTCCTCTCACAAATGGCAACCCTGGTCTTCAACCCTTCACTTAAAATGTGTCCCTTACAGAAGAAAGCTTTAGTATTAGTCATGGTTCTTCAGAGGGGCAGAGCTGGTAGGATGCATACATAGATAAGTGAGAGGTTGTTTATTAAGGGAATTGACTCACATGATTATGAAGGCAGTGATGTCCCACGACAGGCCATCTGCAGGCTGGAGACCCACGGATGCTGGCAGCATGGCTCAGTCCAAGTCCAAAACCTCAGAACCAGAGAAGCCAGTGGTGTAACTTGAAGTTTCGGGCCAAAGGCCTGAGAACCTGGGGTAGGGGCTGCTGGTGCACATTCTCGAGTACAAAGGCCCCAGAACCTGGAGCTCCGATGTCCAAAGGCAGCAGAAGATGGGCGTCTCAGTTCTAGGAGAGAGAACCTGGAGCTCCGACGTCCAAAGGCAGCAGAAGATGGGCGTCTCAGTTCTAGGAGAGAGAACCTGGAGCTCCGACGTCCAAAGGCAGCAGAAGATGGGCGTCTCAGTTCTAGGAGAGAGAACCTGGAGCTCCGACGTCCAAAGGCAGCAGAAGATGGGCGTCTCAGTTCTAGGAGAGAGAACCTGGAGCTCCGACGTCCAAAGGCAGCAGAAGATGGGCGTCTCAGTTCTAGGAGAGAGAACCTGGAGCTCCGACGTCCAAAGGCAGCAGAAGATGGGCGTCTCAGTTCTAGGAGAGAGAACCTGGAGCTCCGACGTCCAAAGGCAGCAGAAGATGGGTGTCTCAGTTCTAGGAGAGAGAAAGCACAAATTCACCTTTCCTCCACCTTTGTGTTCTATTTGAGACTCCAGCAGATTGGACAGTGCCTGCTCACATTGAGGGCAGACCTTCCCAACTCAGTCCACCAACTCACCCTCCAATCTCCTCCAGAAATACACTCACAGATGCACCCAGAAATAATGCTCTACCAGCTATCTAGATATCCTTAAATCCAGTCAAGCTGATGCCTAAAATTAACCATCACACCTTCCTAAACCAACCTGTCTGAAGCGTTCTACAAAAGGAAAAATGCACACGTATCTGTAACTACTGACTATTTATATGGATTAAGAGAAGTATAGTACTTTATACCTGCCATTGATGGATTTTCCTCCACTGCACTTAGAAGAACCACAACCCCCATTTCCTTAGTCTGACCTTGGCACAATTCCATGCTTGGTCCCTAGCAATTTCTAATCCGTGCTGGTAACTCAACCTACAATTATACTGTTACATACTTACAGACATAACTTAAAACAAGTCTGTGGGATTTTTGCCACAGTTATTCCTAACTATCACCTATCTACTCACCCCTGTGTAGACCGGGTCCCTCTGTATTACACCAACCCATGTGTCGTACCCTATATCATATAATGCCCTGAAGTTTCCTGGGTCAGAGGGAGGTGAGCCCCTCGGTCTGGTATTACTGTGGTGACCGCCCTGCCGCCTGCGTATGGGATGAGTCCTCTCAAATAGCAGAAGCAGAGGTGTTGGGGGCAGATGCATGTCCCTCTCCCACAGGATACCATCCTCAGGGGCTCCGTGGCTCCCTGCCAAGGTCAGGCTTGTTCAGATGATACAGGGGAGCAGCGGAGTGGTGTCCATCGAGCTCTGGGAATGGGAGCTGGGTCCCCTCTCTGTAACCTTAGGAAGCTTATTTAACCTTGCTGACTCTGTTTTCCTCATCTGCATTTGGAAACTTGATGTGACAATATCAAATCATGGTTTCTCATGTGGAATGCTTTTGTAGGAGGGCGGTGTGCACTTTCATTGCCGTACCCTGAGGGTGGCCATCAGCAAGGCCTTTTAAAAGTAGACTTGAGCTTTAGATATTAAGAAGCTAAACCATGTGCATAACTTTTGGCCTGGGATGTCTCTTCATTTTTAGGTCTGTATTCCAAGGAAATGAGCAGTGATATACTTAAAGATTTGCATTCAGGGATGTTATTTGAAACTTTATATGTAACGATGACAGCATATGAGATGGTTTAGGATCTCTGTTCCCACCCAAATCTCATGTCAAATTGTAATCCCCAATGTTGGAGGTGGGCCCTGGGGGGAGGCGACTGGATCATGGGGGAGGATTTCCCCTGGTGCTGCTCTCTTGACAGTCAGTGAGTGCTCGCGAGATCTGGTTGTGCGTGGCACCTCCCCGCTCTCTCTCTTCCTCCCGTTCTGGCCATGTAAGACATGCCGGCTTCCCCTTTGCCTTCCACCATGACTGAAAATTTTCTGAGGCCTCCCCAGCCATCCTTCCTGTACAGCCTGAGGAACTGTGAGCCAATTAAATCTCTTTCATTAAACAAGAAGCTACTTTTATAAGAAGATATTATGAATGGCCCACTCTCAGGTATTTCTTTACAGCCGTGTGACAACGGACTAAAACAGGATAAAATTAGCCTACACCTAAGTATGAAGATTGCTCAAACTGTGATTTATTCACATGATGGGATATTTATACAGTCATTTAAAATCTTCTTTTTTAATTTCCTTTTTTTTAAATAAAGATTGAGACATAGCCTGGCTCTGTTCCCCCAGGCTGGAGTGCAGTGGCATGATCTCAGCCTAATGCTGCCTCAACATCCCGGGTTCCAACGATCCTCCCACCTCAGCCTCCCGAGTAGCTCAGACTATAGGTGCATGCCACCACACTTGGCTAAGTTTTGTATTTTTTGTAGAGACAGGTTTTCACCATGTTGCCGAGGCTGGTCTTGAACTCCTGGACTCAACACATCTGCCCACCTCAGCCTCCCAAAGTGTTGGGATTATAGGCATGAGCCACGGCTCCTGGCCTAAAATCTTATTAAAAAATTTAATACCATTGGAAAATGCTTACAATATAAAACAGTCAAATAAATACCCTATATAATTTGTTATATATGTATGAAGTATAAAGGGAAATATTCACGGTGTCATCTCTGGATGACAATGTTAATTGTGGGTGATTATTTTTTCTTTATAATGTTCTATATTTTTCTTTTTTTTTTAAATTTATTTTATTGCATTTTAGGTTTTGGGGTACATGTGAAGAACATGCAAGATTGTTGCATAGGTACACACGTGGCAGTGTGATTTGCTGCCTTCCTCCCCATCACCTACATCTGGCATTTCTCCCCATGCTATCTCTCCCCAACTCCCCACCCCCAACTGACCCTCCCCTATTTCCCCTCAACAGATCCCAGTGTGTAGTGCTCCCCTCCCTGTGTCCATGTGTTCTCATTGTTCAACACCCGCCTATGAGTGAGAACATGCAGTGTTTGATCTTCTGCTCTTGTGTCAGTTTGCTGAGAATGATGCTTTCCAGGTTCATCCATGTCCCTACAAAGGACACAAACTCATCATTTTTGATGGCTGCATAATGTTCTATATTTTTCAATTGTTGCAAGTCTTTATGCAAGAAACAAAAATCTTACTTACCAAAAATGTTGGGATTAAAGTCTGAGGGTCTGTATTTGAGTCCATTTCCCAACACTGGCTGTGTAACCTTAAGTAGGAGAAAGTTGAAAAATGGGAAAAGCTTGTCTCACCTTTCTCATCAGATAGGTGAGGAACTGAAATAAGATAATGTGCGGAAGAGTCACGTGGAAGGAAAATGGCAAAAAAGACAGAGGGGCTATTGCTCATCTGAATCTGACTAGGAAACAAGAAGCTACTCTTAAAAGAAATATTGATGCTTACGAGATTTCAGGTCGCCCCCATCTCCTCAACCCATCTTCAAAATAGACAAAATTCAGTACAACAACATAACATCTCACGCAGAAGGTTCTTCTGCCTGGTAACAGAAGTGCCTCTGTGGAGTTAAGACACAAGGTACACCTGACAACGGCGCTATCCGATGGGAGCTCTGCACATGTGAGAATCATTGCTCCTGTGCCGTAAGACCTGAAAGAGTCCCCCAGCCAGCCACCAGACTTGTAGAGGGTTACATGGGGTCTCCATACAAAGTCAGATGCTTCAAGATATCTGCAGTCTCAAGAGTGCACCCCTGCCGATGACAGAGTGGTAGGGGCTGTTGCTACCCATCCTGGGATGTCCAAGTAGATACTCAGCGTTCACTGCAGGTAGTGTGACACCCCATGCAGCCACTTGGGAATCCATTTGTAATATTTATTTAACTACAAAATATAAATGTTCTAAGACCCAACAAACCTACTTCTCTGCAGCAACTATAGGGACAGAGTTGCTGATGGGCATGAAAGGGCTGGTCATTCCTTTTAAGTGCTGCATGCTATTCCACAGATCAGCCATGCTAAAATCATCTTCAGACCCTAGGCACTTCCCTTATCCTTCAGCATCTCGGGTTTAGCTGCAATGAAGTGAATCGACATGTAACAACATGGAAAGTCTCCAAGAGTTTGTGTTTTGTTTTCTTTTAATTAAAAAAATGTATATTGCTAATCAGAGTATACACTATCAAATTATTTACATAAAATCACTCAAAACATTACAATTCCAATTTCTGTGGGTGTATAAGACACAGAAAAATGTCTGGAAAGATTCATAACAAATAGATTATATTGGTTAGACCTAAGGGTATGGGAGAATGTGGAGGACACAATCTACCTTACTTGTATTTAAAACTACCTTTAAAAAGAAGGTGTTCATGTATTACTTGCTCAATTCACATAAGTTTGACAGTAAAATTAAAACAGTTGTCACAAAACAATTATGAATAGTTGACAATTGAACAAACAATAAATATGCCATAGTCATTCAAAGCCAGGTTTCTCATTGTTGGAGAAAGGAGTGTAAAATTGGAGAATAAGCCGTATGGCGCTGGATTGACATGGAAGGTATAGGTAATAACTTATGGTTTAAAAGGGGGCAGAGAAAGGGAAGAAGGGAGAGAGAGTTAGGGAAGTGGGGGAAGAGAGGGAAAGAGATAAAGAACTTGTTCATATGTATGTGACAGAGGACCTGGAAACAATGGGACTCCACTAGCAATGAGCATACTTAGCATGGAGGCATTGGTTTCTATGTCATTCTCCTCTAAGAGAAAACAGGGCCACTTACAAAACGGTCATTGCAGGTCTGCAACCGAGAAAGTACAAGACGAGCCTGAAAATTCTAGTGCCAAAAAGTAAGGAAATGCTCAAAGAATAACAGGGACATATCAAAAGGACAAAGAATCCAGTTTGCAGAAACTCCCACCGGCCAAATAGGAGACAAATTTAGCATAAAAATAAACAATGATAGAAAATCATCATGACTTATTGGATGAAATGAGAATCTACCGCTTACATGAATATAAATAAATCAATGAAAAAGAAAGAAAAGCTCTTACTCGCAGGAGAAAGACAATTAGTAAATGCAGAAGAAATACTAGAATTAGAAAAATTTCCTCTTGGCAACTAATCATCATCATCCTCGAATCAACCAAGAATCGTCAATGGATATTAAAACTACTGAGGGGATGTTTAAGGAGTAACAGGGTATTTACATACTCTTGAAATATCTCCCCATAAGATGCTTATTTATTGCAAAGGAAAAGGGCATTTTCCTAAGAACAGAGAAAGCTGGCAACACCACTGTCACCAAGAAACCCAGATTAGCAACTCCAGTCATGGGCCAAAGCTACCTCTTGTGCCCCCAATAGGAAGAACGGAGAAGACCCAGGCCCCAATTTGGTGGCATTTCTGCTAGAAATGCATAACCCAATCCTAATCCTCACAAAATATCAGGATTTAACAAACCCAGTTGAGGACGATCCATATAGTAGCCAGCCTCCAGCCCTCAGAAACGTCCGTGTCATAGAACA